TTTTCCCATTATACAGGCGTCACCTGAACTAAGGCAGGTATTCAAGAATGAAATCCAAAGAGTGGGCACTGAGGGGGCCAAAATCCTGCGCCTGCTTGGCGAAAAAGTTGAGAAAATGGAAAAACTGAACACAGGCGACATCCTTCTCGATGTACACGATGCGGCCGAGAATCTTCAGCTGGTGATTGACCAAAAATCGTACCTTCTGGTCAATGCCGAGAGCTGGGGGCATAATGGGCTTCGGTCTGAACCTTTTGTGGAGCCCGAACAACTTCACGACTTTGGGGATGGTGATAGCAGGAGGCCGCCGCACCTGATAAAATCGCTCAGTGAGTCTAATGAGCAGCAGCAGCCGAAACAGACCTTTCGTAATTTTTCGCAAAAGACCAACAGGAGCACAAGCCTCTCTCTCTCCAGGTGGGGGGACTCTGTTTCTGGTGTGGACTTGTTCAGACAGCAGACCATGTGGCCCTCACGCCTGTCCTTTATTGGGGACGCCATTCTTAATGAACGTGAGGTGAGGACTTACGAGAGCGCCAGTGCTTTGTCCCTAGCGACTTTTACTTCATTGTTGATTGAGTTTGTGGCTAGGCTTCAGAATCTAGTTGACTCGTTTGAGGAGATGAGTAAGAAGGCTAGGTTCTTGGAGCCTATCGATTCGGGCGATATACGGACTGATGCGGGCTTCTTTGGCCGGCTGCTAAAATGCGTCTGGCGCAGGGACTGACTGAAATGGATGATTAAGGAAACTACTTAATGCCAAAAAAATCCAGTTTCGTGCAGAATAAAACGCATCTGCTCGATCTTGATGTCTTTGAGTAAGGGAGAAGACATTTGTAATTTATGGGAGGTGAAGGGCTTTGTTGGCAATTAGGCTGTCAAACTTATGGCCTCTTGTTTATTTTATTTCCATACGGTGATTACCTAGCTTATATTGGTTTTGACCATTTTTGGGACGTATGCATATGACCGACTTAAGGTGGTTATGACTCAACCGAATGCAAAACCGAGCTAGGCAGGTGGATTTTTGGGTATAACTAACTCTAGAGTTGGATAATGATTTAAGAGTTGGATAATGATTTACCATCACAGGAGTTTTTAGTAATTGGTAGTTGGTTGCTTGGTTAGGAGACTTGTAACGAGAGAATGATTCTCTTCTGGTATTGCACAGATAAGTGGCAATAATGTGAAGTTACCATGTACAGGGAATGGAAAATCCATTTTAGTTCAAGTTATGAAGGGTCCTTTCTAAACGAGAGTCCTGGGGAGGGGTCCCAGCGAGCGGTGTGTTGGCGGATTTTTCTTTGTTCATTATTGATAAGGAAAGTTTGTTGTGTAATAGAAAATACCAATGTACAAAGAGCTCGTCTTTTCTTATAGTTAAAACTGGAGAATAAGCTCCTGGAGATTGAGAAACATGTAACTTCACTATCTGTTTCTCTGTTTTGCTGTGGCTATCAAGAAGAGAGGGGGAGGTGCTCTACAGAGAGAGCAGTATGAAATGTGTAGAGTGTAAAAATTAGGGTTTGGTGATACTTCATCCCCTTTTATAGGGAAAATTTCTGCTCGGAGAACCCTGCCCAGTTGCCCGATTTATCCATATCCTAATCACTTCTTAGTCAGATCCTAGTCATCCTAGTCAGCTTAAGATTTCATCTTATTCTATAAAGATTCATCTTTATCCATTAAACCTGTTGAATGTTGGAGCTTAAGATTCCATCTTATTCTATAAAGATTCATCTTTATCCATTAAACCTATTGAATGTTGGAACTATGTACTGATTGAGATACACCTCGAGTTGCGAGATATCTGAAGTCGATCTCTAGAGTCATGAGGTCGACTAGGACCAGTAATGCAAACACCCTTGTATGAGATAGTTTTTTCGAGTTGTTGTGAAGACGACCTCGAATTGCAAGGTGGGTGAGCTTGACCTCGAGCTGTAAGGTGAGTGAAGTCGACCTCGAGCTACCTGAGGTCGACTTCCCTTAATAATGATAGGCGTTTTACTACTTATTCGCTATCAAACCACTCGAGGCCCTTAAGCTACTTTTTGCTGATGTCGATTTATGAGATTGAACCATCCTTCCATGTCGTTGTTACCAGAGTTATGACGAGTCGCTTCACCTGTGATAGATAATTCCAGTTGTTGTATTCTTACTAGTATCGACTTTGTAGACCCTTGCTCGACTCGAGTGCCAGTTGACCTATCCTTAATTCAACTTACTCTTTAGTATGACTATATCAACTAGGAAAAAGATGAACGTCCTACATATGTTATATTATTTTTTTTTAACATTTATATTTAATAGTATGATATAATTTTCTTTTCATTAGTTCCATAAAAATGTTGTGTATTTTATGATAAACAATTATAATAAAGTACAATATTTAATATTGAGTCTATGATAAATAAAATTAAATAAAAAATATTGAGTTGAAAATACAAAATAAAATTAATAGTTTTTGTTGTGAAAATGCTTAAGAAATTTATGTCGTTTTTGATTTGGTTATTTAATGATATCCTCATTATGATTAAAATAATGATCATTACTCTATTATTTTTATTATTGTTGTCGCAAATTCAATTATATCTGCAATTATAATATTTCATAATACTTTTTGTTTTTCTCAAACATAATATTTCATAATACTTAGATATATATTTTCTCTCTGGATACATGACAAGAGATAAATAAATATTTAAAAATGTAATTAAAGTCTTAACTATTACAAAAAGAAAATGCTTGAAAAATAACATTCTTGATTGATTTTTTAAGTACACATCAATATCTATTATCCAATATAAATTATTGTTGCATCTCCTAACATTGTGAACAAATAAATGAAAGAATCGTCATTTTCGTTCATGGATTTTCAAGACTATCCTAAATGTGAACAAATAAATGATTTTTAATTTCAGTTTAATGTATTATAAAATGACGATTCTTTCATATTTTACTTTTATCTTAATATTATTTTTGTATTGTTGTCAATATCTTCATATAGTTTATTATTCCTACTTTTGAGAAATGATTTGACACATTTAATTTATGAATAATTTATAGATAAGATTGGCCCATTAGTAATGACCACTTTAGAGTAAATGTACTATTTTTTTTTATTTAATTGATTTTAATCGTAACTATTTTTAATAAGTACGTATTTTGAAATTCAAGATTTAAAATTGAGTTTAGTTAGTTTTTTATAATTACACTATTTTTATTTATGTTACAACTAAAGTAAATGGTAGATTAATTTATGTAACACATATTAACATAAAAGTTTATTTATACTATACATACCATTAACATGTTAACTTAATCATATTATGCCTATTGTTCTAGTGAATAATTTAAACAAAAAATTTAATTAAAATTATATATTTTTCACTTAACGAATAAATGTTTTCCACAAAAAATTTGATATTTTGTATATTGAAGAATTATTTTCGATTCAAGCATTCTTAAACATATGCATGTTCACTAAATTGTTCCTCTTTAATTTATTTAATACTATAACCAAAAATCTCTATAGTAAACAATAAGATATTTGAAAATTCGATATGAAACTTTCGTTGTTGCATTACATGCTTTATACGTATAAAATAAAATAATATTTTACTTAAAAATATTAAAATAATTTTCCCTTAAAATCTACCTAAAATAATAAAACCAGAACTTAATGTCAAATGTAGACTAATTGTGAATTATATAATTAAGAATGAATTATTTGTTTAAAATCTATAAATTTGTGTAGATAATCTTATTGTATGTGTAAAAACTTATAGATATAATTAAGTATAAAAATAAAAGATAATGAATAAAAATAATTTTGAAACAGATGTTTAAAAACTTAACAAATTTGTTAGGTGTAACTTCCTAACATTAATAAGAAAAGAGTAAAAAACTTCGACCGACCCATCCGTAGTATCAAGATTTTCGCTCATTACCAATCAACTTCTTCTTCTTCTTCTTCTTCTTCTTCTTCTTATTATTATTATTATTATTATTATTATTATTATTATTATTATTATTATTATTATTATTATTATTATTATTATTATTATTGTTATTGTTATTGTTATTATTATTATTATTATTATTATTATTATCTTTTGCAAATGGCTATATAAGCTGCAATTATTATTATTATTATTATTATTATTATTATTATTATTATTATTATTATTATTATTATTATTATTATTATTATTATTATTATTATTATTATTATTATTATTATTATCTTTTGCAAATGGCTATATAAGCTGCAATTTTTTTTTTAAAAAAAAATTGCACTTGTTAGGCCGATAACCTCGAATATCTACAGAACCGACAAACCAGAGCTCTGATCGTCCTCGAACCGCTGAGACCTGCAAAAGTGCCAGGTGGAGTTCCCGACGTTAGCACTCTGTTACTTAAGTCAGTAACACGAAGATGAGATCTCAGATCCGTATTTAAAAAGCTATAAATGTATGTGAAGTGTAGAAAAAGAAGAAGAATCCTTAGAGTTGTACCCCACTCCCTCTTTTATAGGGGAAATACCTGGTCAAACTCGTCTGCCCGAGCTACCCAAACTGCCCTCGGTCAGTCTGCCCGAGCTGCCCGAGGTTTGATCCAATCCTTATCCGAATCATATATAAGTCATCCTCAGATTTCTTCTTATCCAGTCCTTAGACACTCGAGTTACGTCTCTATGTAATCGCAGTACTCCAACTCCCTATAGGTCGCTCTTCATGGAGATCAGAACACCTAGATCTCCCTATACTTGGCCACCTCTAACTACCTCAACCTCCTTATACTTAGTCGCCATTCCTATCTAGACCTCGACCTTATTTAGACCTCTAATCCTTTTTGGCTTATTTGCCTCAAGTCTCTCATCGATCTCCTTACTCTTAGACTCCGACCCACTAACAGGGCTATAGCATCTAGTCCCCCCTCCCCCCGAACTTACTCTATTGCGACTCGAGCTATAGAGTAGGCCCACAATCTAAGAATTGTGACATATTGACAGGATATGAATGCTATATTTGAAAGGACTTTTTGGTAGCTTTGTAATCCACATCCGTTTCTAACCATAGATTTTTTTCCCCAATCTAAGGTCTTAAATTCGCTAAATTTATCATATATATCTTGCCTCTATTCTCTTGGCATTCTCACTGTAACGCCCCACTTTTATTTGCCAAAAGTCAGAACAAATTTTTCGAACTTTTTTTAAAATCATTTGTGGCGTTACTTATTTTCAAATCAATAATCAACAATAATCTCAATACTCAATCATCAATCATCATTCCTCAAAAAAGAATCATAAGTCCCCAATCATCAATAAGCAGTCATCAATAATCAATCCTCAAAAGAAACTAAGGAGCATCTCCTTAACAATATTTCAATTCTCAATAATCCAATATTCCTAAATGGCCATAACCAGTTTCAATAAGCGGAAGCAATATCAAATAATAAGTGACCACCACTCGCATCCCTCCGCCGTGCCCGCACAACTAACCTGCATCCATGAAGAGCAGGTGGGGGTGAGCACAATAGGAAGACGTAGTGCTCACCTCTATGCAGTAAACATTATTCAATAATATAACAGTAATCATAAACAAATCAGGTATGGTCGCAGCATGTATACGAAACAATTATCTATCCCATCCCACATCAATAATATCAATAATTAATACTCATGTGTACACACCTATCATTAGCTACTGTTGGTCTTTTTGAAGG